GTCCACAAACATTTCTTTTCTACTGTAATACTTCATCGGGATTTTCATTTTTGTTGGCCATATGGTCTCTGATGCAACTGTTTAACTCCACTATGATGATATTTCTATCAAGGAGAAGTTTTCAGAAGCTGAATTTAACTTCTTAAAAAGTTTATTATTTTTAAATGATTTTAGATAGTAAAACTAGTTGAGGAAACAGTATAAAGTAATTTATAACACTTCTACTCTTCTATTTAACTTTTTGAACCACTAATTTTTATGTTTCTATTTAATGAAAAAAAGAGATTCTTATGGACCTAGATGATACCAAAAGGCTGACAAAGTACTATAATTTCCAATATTTATTTTTTACGGTAGTACCTATGAAATAGGAAAATTTAGTTTAACACATGCAAAGCAGACAAGAGCCTATGGTTAAGAGATAATGCAAACAAATGGCTGAATGAATCCAATCTGTTTCTTCATTCCTAAGAAGTCTTGGAGAATTGTTTTAGCACTGACACCATGTATCTTATCTAAACAAAGTCAAACTATTTGCAAGTTTTTCCAGGACAGATTAACCCGATCCTTCTATATACAAACAGAAGGCAATATATTCAAAACATCTCATGCTTGAAGGGCTGCGTGTAACATCAGTTCTATTCAGTGGCAGTGATGCATTCAAATAGCACTAGATAATGCAATTACTCAGAATTGCTGACAACAGATTTGTTACTAAACAAATAGACAATCAGTTGTTCAGGTTCTTAACCATTCATGCCATCAAAACTCTTTGAAAAACCTAGCTTCAATTGCTGATAAGATCACTCACTACCAACGGCTATCTTTAAACGACCCTTTATTCGATGTATCCCAGAAATGCATCAGGGTGACTGAAATGATGTCAACATGAACAGCTTTATAAGAGGTGATGTTTATGTAGTAGTTAATGAAGTTATGTAGTTAAAGCATATTGCTCAGAATTCTTTTGAAAAATGGTAATTTGAAAAAAAGAATCTTAATACCCTTAGGGGTTTTGAGCAATCTTAGAAAAGTTGATTAAAAAAATATTAGCCAGAGTCCTTAGGATATAAATAAAAAGACATTAAATAATCTACACAGTGTAATATAACCTTTACAGAATTATAAAAATGCTGTATTTTCTTAGAATTACATGATAATAAAGTACTTAACAAGACAAACACAGGGATTAAATACCTTTTCTTCAGGTATACTGTAACGCACATTTTCCAAAAATATTGATGTATTTTCCACATTTGTATATCTCAGAAGAATATGAGCAAAATCTTCTTCACTGATAGCATTCATCCCATTAGAGTAGGAAAGGAATTCTATTTCTAAAACTTCTGTTTGGAGGTTATCCATGAATCTATAACAAAAATATGGTAAAGGGTGAAGAAAATAAGATGATCACATAAAAGTCATATGGAAATAACTTACTTATATAATGATACAAAGCTTCATGGAATTGTTCTTTATGAATGGAAAGAAAAGGGCTCAAGTTACATAAAGTTTCACCATCTAACAAACGTGGCATCTAACAGCTCCTCAGGCTTGGTTTCCTCATCTCTAAAATTAAGATCCCAAAGTACCTCACAGAGTAGGGAAGAGACTTAAAGAAGTTAAAGTATGAGTCCATCACACTGTGAATACTATATAGGTACTTCCTATTGTAATTGTGGGAGAGAGATGAGGCTGTCTATTCCTGTAGAGTTACAATCTCGGACACATGGGCCGTTCTACCTTGTCCTGTAGGGTCACTCTGGGTCAGAATCTACTCAATGGCACTGAGGCTTATTTTATTTTGGGGCGGGTCTTATTACCATAGCACATTAAAAATAATAAATTGGCAACACAGTTTCTTCTGAAATATGTAGGAGATAACAATCAATCCAGTGACCCAGTTAGTTTTTTATTGTTTGGTATCTTTCTATTGCAATTACCGCTCTAGCCACTGACAGGAACTGATAGGAGATTTGTTATTGACAAGGGCAGGTAGCATCTGCAATTGAGACGAAAGCAGCAAAGAGTGAGTACTACTGCACTGGCAGATTTTTTAAGTCCCTCCTAAATTTACTGTGCTAACAATTTTTAATATAAATATAAAAATTAAAGTTCACCTATAAAAGTCTTCAAAGTTGAGCTCAGCTTTTCCTTTCCTTCCAAAAAAGTGTACAAGAAGTGTAGTATCTGCTACTAAACTTGTGATGTCATCAGCTCGCTTAAAAAAAGTCACAAATAAAAAGTTAGCTGTAATAAAATAGGAATAACAGCCAAAGGACTTCATCAACTTGCAGATATATTAACGTGAGAATGAAAAGCTACATAACCACACAAACAAAGCAAAACAACAATAACCAACCCAAACCCTCACAACTAAAACTGATTGTTATGGGTGTCAACTGTGACTGGCAACCTCGAGGACAGGGCAGAACTGCCACAGGGAAGTCACCACCAGGGAAGTGCGCTGACACATCAGAGTGGCTTACAAGTTTCAGGAGAGACCCTAGTACCCTAGTTCTAATTTCTGGACGCCACCTCCCCGTTCCCTTCGCCTTACCTCCCAATTTTCTGGTCTGGCAGCAGGAGCTCTGGATGATGCGTCCTATCGGGTCGCCATTTTCCCGCTCTCTCTGGCTTACAAGTTTGAACCTCCCTCCCACCTTTCTATTCTCAGCTGAGCGCTTAACCACTTGTACCACTACAATGATACATAAAGATATGCAGCAGAACTTAAAATGAAGCTCAAAATCAGAAAATAAAAGTTTGAGTGAAACTCTTTTTATCCTAAAAGGAACAACTTGAAAAATACAAAACTAAAAACTGTATTTTAAGTTTTTACCCTCAAATTATGCATATAGGGTATATATACCTAAAATAGAATTATAATTATTTAGTAATCAGCTAAACATTTAAAAATGTAAATAATCTAGCTTGAATTTTCCTAATCAACTTGAAAATTCATGTTTTAAAGTATGATCCCAAGTTGTAAATTCTCAGATGTACTGGATGTCGTGGGACTGACAACAGGACACTCTCCCCCTCACAAAGCAGCTTCCTTAGCCACGCTATTATGCTACTGAGTTCCATAATTATTGATACTCCAATAGATCATATTCTATTTAGATGAAACCACAGTAATGGGGCATCTCTAGTTTATTTCAGGAAAATGTTTACACAAGTTTGTGGAAGGGTAAGAAATTAATACTAGATGTTTCTGTATGTACTCAAGCTGATTTGCTAAGTTTTAAAAACTAATGTTTTAACAATAACCTAGCGATAGTCCCTAAGGTTTTTTAAAAAACCTTTAGTATAAATTAGGTGAAAGTTTACATAGTTTTACATTCAACGAGTCATATACCCTCTGATTGACCCATCACTGCCATCTCCTCAATGAACTATTCCTTATCCTACCTCCTCCCTGTTCTTGTTTCCATTCCTCCCCCTTTCCTGTCCTTCAGATCTTTGTCCTTAGGTAAATAAATGGGTGGCAGGTGGGTATCCTATGCACTGGGCTGCTAACCACAGGGTGAGAAGTTCAAAACCACCAGCTGCTCTACGGGAGAAAAATGAGGTTTTTTTCTACTCCCATAGAGTATTACAGTCTCAGAAACCCACAGGGCCAGATTTACCATCTGGTAGGTTCACTAGGAGTCGAAATTGACTCCATGGCAGTTGAGAGGTGAAAATTCAAATGTGGAGAGTTTCGTTCCAAACCTAAAAATACATTGTGTTCCATTTAATCTCAATATGATCAAGAAGCCTCTTCTCTTCCAATCCATCCAGGGCCTTTTACGAATGTGATCCTTTGCCGAACTGGCAGTCGTAGCCTAATGGTAAGCTTTAATGGCCTACGAAAATCTCTCCTTTAAAGTAACTTCATAGTTTTCTTTTCTCCTTTTCCTTCGTCCTCTTCTTGCCTTCTCTTCTCTCCTCTTTGCCTTTTCTTTTCATTTGACCATTAACTCTAGCTCATTTTGAGACTCTTCTCTATAGTAGACAATGTGACCGTGAGTCCGTGAACCCTTCTGAGGGTGTTAGCATTATCCTCGGGAATATTTAACAGTACATTCGTCAAAGAGTGGTTTGAAAGATTAAATGACAGATATAAATCATTAGCACCATGGCAGACGTATTATAACTGCTCTCTAAATTTTAGCTATTTAGTTTTACTACATATATTTTAAGAAACTCTCAGAATTTACTAAAAAGCCCTGAAAAAGAGAGATACCAAAGTTAAGTCTTCGTGGAAGAAAGAGCATTTTTACTTGGTGCATGCTGATTTCTTTCTCATAGTTGAAACTACACATAGATATTACTTAGATCTGTGGAGGGGGAATGCCTTAAAATGAGAGAGTTCATGAATAGCAAAAGTTAGTGAACTCAGATAACATAATTACTGAATGTTTTTTCTCCAGGTGTGTGATGTCCTTTACCTGAAGACATAACACACTGAAATGTAGATGGCATTGTTTTATCCAGCGTCTGAATAATGACCTCATTCAGGCAGTTTTTCTCATGCCCTTGAACAGAGCAGATCTTCACTTACAGTCTTGCATCATCAAAATCTTATTAGATTTAGGTTGCATTTATCCAGGTAATCCAGATCCACAGAAGCATAAGTAACAGTTTGACATTAGGAGAAAAAAATGAGAAAATGGAAATGGTGAAAACATTTTTTTTCCCCATTCAATGAAACAGAGTACTGTTCAGACTCATTGAAAACTATACCAGTGTCCTCGGTATCCTAACAGTGTTATATAACTTAAATCACTTAAGGGTGAGACAGAAATAGACTTTATCCCTTTGATTCTTGGGCTCATTGTTCAAATAAAATGAATTCAGGTGTATTCATAACAAAGCGAGAAAACAAAGCCACAAAGGAACCCCAATACATGAAAGGCCATTATCTAACTTGTTTTGATTAAAAAATATTTAGAATATAAAAATTAAATAAATTAATTTACATGAAAACACCGGAGTTTGAAGACATCCTTCAAACATATATGAATTTTTCCTTTTGTTTTTATTCAACAGGGTTTAGGCTGCAGTGTTTTTTTTTATAAATCATTTTATTGGGGGCTCGTACAATTCTTACCACAATCCATACATCCATACATTGTGTCAAGCACATTTGTACATTTGTTGCCATAATCGTTCTCAAAACATATGCTTTTTACTTGAGCCCTTAATATCAGTTGCTCATTTCCCCCTCCCTCCCCACTATCCCCTACCTCATGAACCCTTGATAATTTATAAGTTATTATTTTGTCATATCTTACACTGTCCAATGTGTCCTTTCACGCACTTTTCTGTTGTCCATCCCCCAGGGAGGAGGTTACATGTAGATCCTTGTAATTGGTTCTCCCTTTCCAACCCACCCTACCTCCACCCTCCCAGTTTCGCCACTCACACCACTGGTCCTGAAGGGATCATCCACCCTGGGTTCCCTGGGTTTCTAGTTCCTATCTGTACCAGTGTACATCCTCTGGTCTAGCCATATTTGTAAGGTAGAATTGGGATCATGATGGGGGGGGAGTGAGTAGGAGGGGAGGAAGCATTTAGGAACTAGAGGAAAGTTGTATTTTTCATTGTTGCTACATCACACCCTAACTGGCTTGTCTCCTCCCTGAGACCCTTCTGTAAGGGGATGTCCAGTGGCCTACAAATGGGCTTTGGGTCTCCACTCCACACTTCCCATCTCATTCACAATGATTTGATTTTTTGTTCTGATGATGCCCGGTACCTGATTCCTTTGACACCTTGTGATCGCACAGGCTGGTGTGCTTCTTCCATGTGGGCTTTGTTGCTTTTGAGCTAGGTGGCCGCTTGTTTACCTTCAAGCCTTTAAGACCTCAGACGGTATATCTTTTGATAGCCAGGCACCATCAGCTTTCTTTGCCACATTTGCTTATGCACACATTTGTCTTCAGCGATCTCAAACATATTTTTTACTGATTGAAATGTAAAAATCCTAGCAAGTTCTGTCCAAGTCTAGAGGGAGTCTTGAAACTTTTGTCAACAGAATTTTAGGATACTCTATTTAAATTTATAAAGCGCAAGTAATATTTGAAGTATATAAATTAAAATTCGTAAGAACTTAAATAATCCTTGTAATTCTTGTACTGTTAAGGCAAGAGTAGTTCAATAGTTGCATTATAATTTAGCATATAACATACCAAAAATTTATTACATATGGTTTTTGGTCAGAAAATAGTTTTAGCTGTGACATATTAAAATTTTCATCACAACAATTTTATTATGCTGTGAACTCCTTAACAATCTCATTATTTTCTTCATTTCTCATGAGCTGCTTACAGTCTAATACCAACCCAAACCAAACCCACCGCCAACAAAAATTGGTTTTAACTTGTAGTGACCATATGTTGTAGTGTAAAAGTATCCCAAAGGGTTCCAAAGGTTTTGTTCTATATGAAAGCACATTGCCACATCTTTCCCCATGGATCAAGTGGTGGATTATAACTAACGATGTTTAGCAGCCAGGCACTTAGCAACTGCTATACCAGGTCTACTAGTCCTTATTGGTACAGGGGTGAGGCTTTTTATTTTATGATGTGGTATAATCCATACTGTAGGCTGTAGTCTTAGCTCTTCATCAGTAAGCATTTCAAGTCCTCTTCTCTTTCACCAAGAAAGGTTGTAATCTTCATAGCAATGACTTTTAATCAGTCTCCCCCCAATCTTGATGCTGCATTCTTTTATATTTATAGTCCATTTCTGGAGTTTGCATATTGATCAAACAAGTATGGGGCAGTAATGTAATCAAATTCTGTTGCCTTTTCCACTTCTCTATCAAACCTGCTTTCATAGTTGAGTCAATCTAGTACAAGATCATAATATGTATTAATAAAGCAAATGGTTTACTGATAAACTGTGTATCAGGAGAAAAAAACATGTTTTGTAGTTCTGGCCAGTTTCTGCAGTATTAATATTCCCATCATGACTTCTTTCAAGCTATCAATGTAAGGTCACAGAAACTTGAGAAGGGGAGATATCTGTAGAACTGGATCTCAGGAGTTGGTCAAAGCTAGTAATATCATACTACTGTTAGAGCTACAAACATTTTAAAAGATCTTATACAAAATTATACAATCTTCTGAGTTTATAGTAGCTGACTGTTCATCTGGAATTGTCTTTCAAAATTTAAATTCAATTCTACATCAAACATTAGGCTAGATGAAATGAAGAAACATTGAAGGTAGAGAGGTGGATATTCTAGAAGGGTGACAGGCAATAATTGACACAATTGTCTATTTGAAGCCCGAAAACAAGGTTACAGTTAGCTTGTAGGGACTCACAGTTGCTCTGATATGACTCAGTAAAAGATTTTAAAAAATAATCAATTAAAAAGTATTTCTAAATAAAACATTTTTTTATATATATACCTTTATATTTATACCTCAATTAAATAGCTCAAATTTAACAGGTAACCTTTAAAAGGTAACTGCTTATAATTGCTATGAATATGATCATTATAGTATATGCATATCAAAGAGAAAACATAGGGAACTATTTTGTTTTGGCATTTTAAAATTAAGCATACATAATGAAAATGAGCATATCTAAGCGTTCTAGTCTATAGATGTAAACAAAGCAATGTTCTACATATGGGTAACAGAAGTCAAACCCGATTCCAGATTATTTCTCCAGACCACTTTTTTTTTTTTTAAGATAGGAAAATAATAATAATTTATATCAAGGGGTCACAAGGGTTGGAGGGGGTAGGGTGGGGAAAAAGAGGAGCCGATACTAAGGGCTCAAATAGAAAGCAAATGTTTAGAAAATAATGATGGCAACATATGTGCAAATATGCTTGACACAACCGATGTATGTGTTGTTATAAGAGTTGTAGGAGTCCTCAATAAAATTATCTTTTCATAACATAAAAAACCCAGGTAATCATGTCTAAACAATATTAAATCACTAAATTGCAGAAATATAATATTAACTAATTCAGGTTTCTACATCCTCTTCTTACATAGGCGATATAAAGAGTTGAATGATCATTCCCCACAAAGTCCATGTGGGAACTGTCATTATGACCTTATTTTGAAAACGTGCACTTGCATATGTAATGAAGGCCTCCAGACCACTTTTAAGTGTATTTTTTTAAAGTCAAAATTTAGAGCAAGGAATGAATGCCGGAAAAAATAATGAAAACTTGCTCTCTCAGAATTCACTGCAAAGCCCTGTGTGGTAAGATAGATAGCCATCTTTAATATGGCTTATAAAGTCAAGAGTCCATATTAACAGTGGCGTAGCAAGGGTAGGGTAGTGCAGCAGTTCACCCCAGATGCTGCAATAAGACACATACCCGAATAGAGTGAAACAACAATAAAACTGAATAAAAGACAGTGTGGTTTTTATTTTCACCATGCACTGACAATCTTAAACAATTTCTGTATTACTTCGCCTTTGATGGACTATTTTCATGGCATGTCTGCCCCACTCCCCCACTACCATCTTGGCAAGGCATACTTTGTTAATATTCTCATTGCCATCTAATCGATCCCAACTCATAATAACCATGAATCCAGCTTTTGAGGCTCTAAATCAGCTGTTCTCAGTGACCCTTTCACAAGGGTCGCCTGATTCAGAACGGTAGCAAAATTACAGTTATGAAGTAGCAATGAAAAATGGTTGGGGGGGGGTCACCCCAACATGAGGAACTGTATGGTAGGTTGAGAACCACTGTTCTAAATCTTCATGGGAACAGACTGTCTCATCTCTCTCCCATAGCCAGCCTGGCAGGTTTGAACCGCAGACTTTTTATCAGCAGCCCCATGCATATCTGACAAGAACTTTAATTGCTTAAGTCTATCATAACATACCAATGGTACATTCATAATGTACCAGGAGGTAACATCATATAAAAAGGAGAAAAGATTGAAATTGTCAAGGATTTCATCTTGCTTGGGTCCAGAGTCAATGCTTACGGAAACAGCAGTCAAGAGATCAAAAGACCCACTGCATTGGGTAAATCTGCTGCACAAGGCCTCTTTAGAGAATTGAAAAAGAACGATGTTAATTTGAGGACTAGGGTGCACCACTTAACCCAAGTCATGGTATTTTAAATCACCTCATATGCCTTTGAAAGTTGGACACTGAACAAGGTAGACTGAAGGAGAATTGGTGCATTTGCATTATGGTGCTGGCCAAGAATATTCAAAATTACTTTTGACTGCCAAAAGAACAAACAAACCTCTCTTGTATGGAATACAGCCAGAATGCTTGTTAGAGGCAAAGCATTGAGGCAAAAAAAAAAAAAAAATCGAGAGATTTTGGCCTCATCATATACTTCAGACATGTTCTCAGGAGAAACCAGTCCCTGGAGAAGGTCATCAAGCTTGAATGAAGGGGCAGTGAAAAGAAAAAGGTTCTTAAAAAAAAAGAAAAGAAAAAAGGTTCTGGACAACATAGTGGATCGGCACAGTGGTTGCCAACAATGGGCTCAAACATAAGAACAATTGTGAGGATGGTGCAGCATCAGGTGGTGTTTTGTTGTGTTGTACATAGGGTTGCTAAGTGTTGGCTAACTTGATGGCACTTAACAACAATAATCATAACACTGTGAGGAGCTCTGGTGGTATAGTGGGCTACGCATTGGACTGATAACCTCAAGGTCAGAAGGTGAAAACCACCACCTGCCCCATAGGAGAAAGATAGGGCTTTCTACCGGCATAAAGAATTACAGTATCAGAAACCCACACGGGCAGTTCTTGCTGTCCTACAGGGTCAAGATATATCAGAACTCACTCAATGGCAATTAGTTTATCATAACTACTTTTTACCAAGTTAAATATTTCAACATTTCGAGAAACACTGGTAAATTAATTGCAAGGCTGAAAATTCTTAGTGAAACTATAAATTATTATTTTCAAATTTCTTGGAAGCAACTCTTTGAATTCCTCGAAACGTCATGTTTAACACAATTCCTTGAACACAAAGCAGTTCTTTGAAACGTCATGTTTAACACAATAAACAATTTATAATTGATTATTTTAGGTCACGTTACTAGTCTTGATATCATGGCTGATAGTTTATATTTAGCAATTTGAGCTTTTTAATATAGAAGGTATACAACACATTTTCAGTTTTATTATTGTGATCTAAAATGAAATGAAGATTAGATTAACAAAATGGCAAATAGGACCAGGACCTGGATGAAATTGAATTATACCTCTGCGAGGTCGGAAAAGAGTGCTTGACTTGTGCTACGTCTCAGTGTATCCCAGTAACTTCTGGACACAAGTTCTTCTCCATCTGTTTTAAGTACCTGTAGAAGTTTTAAGAAGCACAACTGAAATCTAAAGAATAGTTACAAAAGAATGATAATTTATACACTTTAAATCTCTTCTAACCAACCTTGAAAGAAAAGAAAACATATTAGCTTACCTTTTCTATTTGCTGCTGCACCCAATAGTATTACATTACACTGGTGGTAAACTCACGGTAATTTCAAAGGTGTCATGGTATATAACCACTATTTCTAAGTCAATGAGGCTTTATCAAAAATAATCAAATTCTCCCCCCCTCAAGTCCTCATACTGAAAAATGTATAACTTTTAAGAAAATGTAAAATAGAAATTTATTCATCCTTTCTGTGAAGTAAATTCATGAGAAAAAAATACTTCAGTAATTTTATAATTTATGGTAAACTATAAAAATCATGCCTACTTTAAAATACAATTAATGTTGGCTATTATACAGCTTATTAATCATTCTATCAAAATTGTTATAACCATACTTTTGAAAGCAAGGTTAAAATTCACACTTTAACAAAAAGAAGTAAGACTGCTTAAATCAAACCACTTGAAGTTTCTTAGGGATTTTGTAGGTGTGTACATTATAAATGAATAAGATACTTTCTAATTTTTACTCCAAGGAGAAAACTCTAGCCTCTATCTGAGGCTTGGCTAATTTGTTAGAAGATATCCAAATGAAAAAATATAGTCTAAACTTCATATATGAATGCTAAATTAAAAGTATCATCTGTAATTCTCTTGCCGTCCAAGGCCTATCATCTGTTGTAGTCTGTGAGATAGGATGTGGTTGCTCTAGTAGATTATAAAAGACTGAGAATAGACAGAGCATTCTTGCTAGTAGCTGAAATCTAACGCCGCAGTATCCAGACTATATATCTGTTTTCCATAATATGTAACGCTAAATGAGTACTATTTAAAAAAATTAAAGAAAAAAAAATTAAACTTAAAAAAAAGTAGAAACTTAACCTAATTTGAATTTCTATATATAAAAATAATTAAATGAGTTTCTGAAAGGATTTATCAGAGATGTCATAGGTTCTAAGGTTTGGTGCACTTACGAGTAATAAGAAATTAATGTTGATAATCGAAAAAAATGGGGGGCCTTAATCCTCAAAAGTCTGGTGTGATGAATAAAATTATGTGTTTAGTTGGGAATTATTTTTTAAAATCCTTTAAATTTTAATCCACTGTTATTAGCTGCTTATATGTTAACATGATCTTTAAGAATGCTAATAATAAAGTATTACTTAACACAAAGATAATACAAGCATAAGTGTTACCATAAATATAATGATTGTAAATCCGCTCACTACTTTTTTGTAACTAAATAAGGTTTAACTAGGTCATGAGCTAAATAAGTAAAAATCGCTGAATATAAAACTGACAAAGTTCATTTCAAAAAACTATATATGTGTACAGTATATTCAATATGTATTAGCTGGACTACTTTACAAATTATTTCAATATTTTTGAAAAGATGCACTTTTATTAAAACTTAGAAGGTTAGTATAGATCAAGAAAGGGATTGCTAAACTTATGAAACTTAACATAAGGTTTAATGCACATTATTATTAGGAAGATAACATGAATGATTCTTTTTGTGAAATTTTGTCCCTTCTCTACTTTCAAACACGGATCATCATCTCACATACACATTAAGGAAACTAGAAAAATACAACATATTAAGGGTTAAAATTAGTCTAACCATATCGACATGAATAGCTATATAATAAATATATAATTTTGGAGAATAGAAAAAAAGAGAAGTAAAAATGCTAAAATATATTATTTCTGAATAGTAAGATTAGAGATTTTAATTTTTCATTCCTTTGCTTTCCTTTATAAAACATTTTTATACTAACATGTACCTTTTTAAATAATCAAAAAATATATATCTTATTTGGAACCAAACAGTTTACTAGTCTTTTGGTGCAGAAAGCTTTAAGCTTGTAATTTTGCAACAAAGATTAAATCATGGCACATTGTGTGACTGAACTGCTACCACTGGCTTTATTTGCACCTTGTAGATGATAAAGTATTGACGGCAGGAACAATATCTCCACAGCAACTACTGCCATGCCCAGTACCAAGTAAATATAGACGAGGGGACATCAAAGTTCATAGAAAAATGGAATTGAGAGACACGGAATTTTTCCAGAAACTTTTAAAAACCACTTGTGTATAATAAAATAAGAGAGAGAAAAAAGCTAACATATCAGAGATTTGTACAGCATATTTCTTGATTCCTGTATATATATGTCTATTAATGGAGTCAGTTTTTAATTGTTTTATCAATGGTTTGATTAAAATTAAGAATAAAATTTCAAAACATGCAAAAGTAGTGAGGATTTTTAAACTCAGAACAATATAATGGTGTGCCTAACAAAAGCCATGAAAATCAGAAAGAAAGAAATAAAGAAAAAGGGAGAAAGGAAAAGAAGAAAAAGACCGATCAGAGAATTTATTACTGTGATAGGCAGAAAAATGGTTTCTTAAAGAGGTCTGTGTTCCAGGGAATCCAGGGCGGATGATCCCTTCAGGACCCGTGGTGTGAGTGGCGATACTGGGAGGGTAGAGGGAGAGTGGGTTGGAAAGAGGGAACTGATTACAAGGAACTAATGTGACCTCCTTCCTGGGGGACGGACAACAGAAAAGTGGGCGAAGGGAGACGTCGGACAGGGCAAGATATGACAAAATAACAATTTATAAATTATCAAGGGTTCACGAGGGAGGAGGAAGCGGGGAGGGAGGGGAAAAATGAGGACCTAATGCTGGGGGCTTAAGTGGAGAGGAAATGTTTTCAGAATGATGAGGGCAATGAATGTACAAATGCACTTTACACAATTGATGTATGTATGGATTGTGTTAAGAGTTGTATGAGCCCCTAATAAAATGATTTAAAAAAAAAAAAGAGGTCTGTGTTCAATTGGGCAAATAATATGAAGTTGGAGTCCAATCAAGGGAAGAAAACAGGCAGACAGCAAATAAAGGTCTTTATTATCACTGCTGTTATTAAGCTGCCATTGAGTTCATTCCCTACTAATGATAACCCATGCACAATGGAAAGAAATGCTTGGTCCTGGATTGTCGCAACGATTCATTATTGATTGAGTTGTCTGTATAATCTGTAAGGTTTACACTGGTTTACATTTAGAAGTAAATTATCAGTCCTTTCTTCCCAGTCTTGATCTGAAAGGTCAGCTGAAATCTGCTTAGCACTATAGCAAGCCTCCAGTGACTGTGATATTTAAAACACATACAAACCCAAACAATCACAAACAAGCAAATAAAAGACAATCACAACTTCAACAGCTTTGTTACAACCACAACTGGAGCCTTTAAAGCTGTAACCCAAGAATTATAATTTAAAGAAACAGGTTACTGCAGTTATCCACAGAAAAACAATGACAGGTCAACCACAAATCCTCCCTGCAACAAAAACACTCTTAACTCAGACTCTAAAGAATCCCCACCGAAATATTCTACAAGCCCTACTTACTGCCGAAGAACGGTCATCCTGGGTGACAGCTAGCATGACAGCACCCAGTGAAATCACGCTTCAAGACTTGCTAGTACAGTAATTTTATAAAATACAAAATTTATTTAAATAGTCTAAAAAACAGGAAAGTTAAATCTAAATGAATTATTTAGGAGAAAAAAGAGATGTCCAAGAGTGATTAGGCTGGCTAGAATAAGGGAAAAAAACAACGTCCAGATGTGAAAAATGTAGCCACTAAAATTTAAAAACGTATTAGATGTAGAGAATATATAAATAATTAATTATAAAGATGAATATGAAGAAATTATAATATAGAATGCAGCATGGAGAGATGAAACACATTATTATTAATTATCTGCATATTGACTTTATTGCTAATTGATACCATGAGTATGTATATTAATTATTATTTATTAAAGCATGGTAACTTAAACAGAGGCTAAGACATATTGGAGAGAACAGTATATACTGAAAGCATAAAAAATGTAGTAAAAATGAGAAAGAGAGGAATTTGAGAGATATTATGGCAGTGAATGTTCAGTGAAAGAAACACGAGATGCCTAATAAATCCCATGATAGAAAGTAGAATGAACAAATATGCTGTATTCAAATTAAAGTACACCAAAGGCCAAAAGACCTTAAAACAGCCAGTAAGAAAACAGATCAACAGATTAATAATAATTAGACTAGAACATGATTAATGAAACAATTAAAATAAACAAAATATGCTTTTAAGCAAGATATACCTAAAATATAAAGAGAGAAAGTTTGAAAAAGACATACCAGGCTTCTCTTACTGTTAACACCAACCTCTCAACTATAAACACTGGACAAAGTAATAAAACTGACATATCTTCTTCCAGGATCGTTAAAGACAGTATTTATTCTGGTATTGTGTTGACATTCACGCGGATGGAAAAAGGAATGGTAGGTAAAACTGGTGCTGTAGCCTTTGCAGAATCAAGGTGGTGACACTAAAGACCCAAACTAATTACATTTTTGTTACTAATCATATTTCTGTGCCAAACACTCACAGCAAAACAAAAAAATAAATACATTAGTTTATTTAAGAATGTACTTGCTGAAGAGTAAAAGAATTCCCTTAACTATCTGCTGTGCTAAAATGAGAAAGAAGTCTACAATGCAAAAGTCATATGGCAGTGATGGTTTGTGACCCATGCTCCACTAGCCATGCTCTTCACGAACCACATTTTTACATTAGAGAACAACTGGCATGTCAACTATCGTTAGTCAGACTTAGATCTAAATACTGATGACAGTTTACTAGAAATGAAGCAAATGACCTTGCCCCTTCAAAGAAACGTACATATTGTCAAAGTATTTCAACAGATTGACTATAAAAGCGATACGAGAATATCACCCGTTTTCTACTGTCTATGAATTTAAAACACTATTATACTTCTCACTATATTATTAAGAGGAAGTGTTTTAGTTATGTGGTGTTTATTCTTACCATTTAAAAACAAATTAATTATTTTTAAATTTCTATGTTTTAATTTCTAATATCCTAAATTTAGACAGATATAACCTATCTGAATAAAAATTCTTTTGGGTTTTCCATTTTTTAAGAAAAATTAAACAAAGGGATCCCAAGACAAAAAGTTTGAGAACCACTGCTTACACCAATACAAGTAAACGAATTAAGCACTACAAACAGCCATGCAGATGAAACAAGACAATTCCAATGTTTAGCGAAAGATGCCAGGCACAGAAAAAAAATATCATACAACATGAATTCATTGATATAAAAGTACAAAATTAGTAAAGTTGAACTATATTGTTTAGGATGCATAAGTACATTGTAAAACCCACAAAGCAATGAAGTGATTTACATAAAAGTCCTAATTGGGGTTATCTTTTGAGGGAAAAAGTCATGAAGCTTTAGGTACATATTAATATTACATTTCTCTATAACAAAAAAGTGGTTACACTTTCATTCTTTTTCATTTTATTTTGTTTATAGTTTCTGAATTAAAATAAATTTGAAAAATCACATAAATCACCACCATGAGAGGAAAGAGAAAATGAAAAATAAACAAATTGTTGGTGTTAATTGCCACTGAGTCAATGCTGACTCCCGGCAACCCCAGTGGTGTAGAGTGGAATGCTCCCTAGGGTTTTCAGGGCTGTCTTGGAAGCAAGCCTGTGTTCAAAGGGTCTCTGGGTGGGCTTGAATTGTCAATCTTTTGAGCACTTAAAATACTTTGCATCACCCAGGGACTCCTGAACAAAACATAAAAGAGCAATAAAAATTTTTAAAAAGAAACCAAATAAAATAAAAGCGGTATATTTATCCTGCAAATGACTAAAATAAACTTTAGGTAAAAAGATTTCTAGAGGCCTTGGGATACTATGTGGGGTCTTCAAAGAGTTTACAAAAAATGTAATTAAAAGATAATAGAATTATTCCACAAATTTCTGAAGCTCCCTTCTTTAATGATAAATGGTTGAGTTCACAAAAAAGATATAACTACGGTAATCCATTATTCTTATATAGGCAAGAATGTTTCAAAATACATGAAGCAAAAACAGACGGTGCAAGTAGAAATGACATTGTTATAATATAAAATACTAATAGAATCAACTAGAAAAAATCAATTAGAAATGATAGAAAAGTTTTAGAACAAATGTTAACATGCTTGGCCTAATACACATATACAACAGAATATTATATCTCAAAGTGGAGAAAAATACACATTCTTTTTAAACAGATCATTTAGGAATATGACATTGTTTTAGCCCATAAAATAGGTCTCAAAACATTTCAAAGAGCTGGTATAAAAGCTGATACATATTCAATTATAGTGAAGTTAATATCACTAAGCATATTTTTAAAACTAACAAAAATATTAAGAGACAGGACAAAATAATATATTATTGCCTTCTGAATCATTGTTTTTATATTTTTAATTTTCATTACTATGGATGCATAACAGGAGTGGCTGTCTCAGAAATATGCAAAGAATCAGGGTTATTTGAAACAAAGAAGGCTAGAAAGTTATCTCATCTTCATGAATACAAAAAAGTGTGATAATGCTTCAAAGAGAAGGGCACACTCCAGTGAAAATTAATTTGACTCAATATAGGAAGATCTACTTAAGGGTGTTAAGTTTTGGAAGACGCTACTGCTAAAGCCACCAAATTTCTCTCTACATAGTAAAAGCCAAGAGGGTCAGCACCTTCCTGAAAAGACTTCCTCCTAAAGACAGAAGATATTACCAATCTTTAGGTTAACATTCAGCTCCACAATCTGTACTTGAACTAGATACTTCATCCCTCCAGTTGATGTTATAATCCCAGAAACTAGTAATTACCAATTAATTAAAAATTATATTAATATGTTTTAAATACTACAATGATATTTCATACAAAATTTCTGAATTTTTTCTAATTTAAATGAATCTCCCTTTTTTGCATGTTTTGAAAATAATCATTACTTTGAGCAAACATTTTTTATAGGAAAAAGGTTAGATTCATGTAATTAATTTAAGGCAATGAAAATTAAAATGACATTAAATTACATCACTGTTACGATAAGCTTCACCAAAGGTCAGCAAACTTTTGAGGCAAAAGAAATAATCTTGTCCCTCACAACAATTTAAAAATTATTCAAGAGTGATAGATATATTTTTACAAACAAATGAAATCACTATTATCTGAATAATATCCTCTACATTTTTTTCAATTTTGCTTCAGAGTCACATGTATGTACCCCAAAAGCCACATCCACAGTTTGCTGATCCTTGAGTTAGGGATCTTCAAATAAATGAAATAATAACTACAATAAAATGCAAAATCTTAAAATTACTTTCCCCTCAAATTAGTAAGCACAATATAATAATACATGCAATTTAAGTCTGGTTTTCAATATTATTCTCTTAATACCAGAATGACAGCAATATGCTTGTGTATCTAGCTTTGTGTATCACAATATAAAGCTGTATTAGGGTCTGGTTCCTCTTAATATCTCTGTGAGAAGTAATAACTGTGAGAACCATATAATTATGCTACACAAAAACTGAGTTTAAAGTTGGAAGTAAATATTGCCATAAGAAAACGGTTAGTGCAATGACATAATAGATTAGAAAAGTAAACCATATACATAAATATTAACATCTTTTTTACAGAACATATTACATTATAATCTGAGATTTTCAACTTATATATTCTTATAAATTTTTAAAGTATTAACAGAATTCTTTAAATTTTTTTAAAAAATGAAGATTGTAATGCAAAACAGAAGTTAATTTTACATACACATATTTAAAGCATCTTTCAAATAATAATAAATCCTATGCAATTGGCTTATTTCTCCACCAAAGACATTTGCCTAGACCTATTCCTAGCTGAGATGTGCTGAGTTACTTTATACGGAATCAACCTCTGGGTATATATGCTTTAATCTAGATCAGCCTTGGTCTTTGATGTTTGGATTTTGATGAACTATCCAATACAAGAGGCAACACACTTGCTTTTAGAATTGTGCACTGTAACTGAATTCAATAACATTGTCAGCCACTCTGAATTAAAGGGCTTCTCAGGTGGAATATTTTTTACAATTTGAGGGATTCTTCCAAATGAAGTATGGCTTCCTGGGAAAGTTTAATGGACTGTGCATGTATATGTTCAGTGGAGGTCATGGTCTATTCTTAGTTACTTAGCTAGCTAGCCAACAATAGTTTGATTTTCTCGAGACAGATGAGGAAAAGAAGCTCAGCATAAGAGGAAAACAGTATTGGAAGATCACTTAAAGGAACTCTCAACATTGCATTTTTAAAAAGTCTAAAAATAATAGTCCTTTTAGCTATACTATGCGACATCAATATATTTAACATGTAATTGGTAAGGCATTGTAGTTACATAATCTGGTGTCAATTTGAGACTAGTAAGAATGCAGAAGGGTAGTTTGTCTGTCAATCAGGTCGCAGCTTGATGATCTCATTTGAAGGTGTGAAGGAGATAAATAGCTCACTGGAGGCTAGTCACACTCTTTCTGCTTCGTCCTCATGGTGACAAGACACATGGAGCTGCGCTGATAGTGCCAGAGCCCTAGAGCTGAAGGAGCCACATGGAGACCCAGGCCAGTGCTAAGAAGCTTCCACCACCACTGGGTCCACAATACTTTCCACACACTGACCTATAATCCTCCTGCATTCTGAATCATTACATGTGTATGTGAGTCTGAAGAGGAATTTATGGACATATGGGCTAATATCAGACTTATGGACTTGATCTGGACTGGGATATTTTTTTAATGCACAATTGCTCTTTGATATAAGTCTCCCTGGATTTGTTTCTCTAGTCTACCTGGACTAACAGCTGTATCAACTTATATTGGTATATTTTTCTTGTATTGATCATAAGTAGTAGGTTAAGTAATAAAAATTTCTGAACAAAAGGGAGAAATCATAAAAACCTAAGCAGTGTGGCTAAGTCTATTCATTAACATAGCTCTTTATCAGAACAAAGACTGCCTATCAAATGAGTAGATATAATTCTTAAAATATCTGTATCCTGCAAGCACAGAGCCTGAGGATCTGTTTCATTTTATGCATAGAGTTTTTAGTTGTTGATCATTGTTTTTTCTCTTTTTTCAATTTAAAGTTAAATATACACAGTCACACTGTATGTTTAAGTCTTCTCATAATCTGAGAAAACAAGATTTTTGATTTATTGCATCTAGTTGTATTCAATAAATTCCTAAAAATAATAAGTAGCAGGTCTAATTTTACAGACATAACATTATTAAGGAAAACAGGTGAGAGCTTTATACAAAAGAACATTTAAGGTGTTGTACATACACTATTAGTAGAAGAATGGTATCCATAAAGTTGAAGACGCTGACACAGAGCACAAAGGGCCAAATGAAGTGTCACATTTCAGAATGAACCCAAGAATAGCAAAAGAAAAAAAAGAAAAAGATGACAAAATAATCAATTAGGAAGGGCAAATCATTATGCTACTTCTATATAGAGCACAAAACAAGTGGTATAAACATTAAAGATGACTAGCAAAGTTTTAAAAATAGCTCATGGTTAACATTAATGAATTTGTACTCATTTCAAACATTTCATCATAACCTTCTCATAGAAACACTACATTGAGTAAAATATGTTCCTCTTAAGAATGTACCTTGATTTAGACCTGCTTCAGCAATTCCTAGGGGAAAATTTGAGACGTAGCAGTATGGCAGAGTGGAAAAGGTATGAGAGGCCTGCAGTGGAACTTAATAGTGGTGTGACCTTAGGCAAGTCAGTTAATCTAAGACTGTTTTCTCACCTGTAAAGCAGGTATTATACTTACCTGACAAAATCGTAATGAAAGCTAAATGGGAGCAACATGAAAGAAGGACCGAGCATGGAGTGTAACACATAGTAAACATGTCAATAATGTGATGTTCCTTTCCCTCTGTCCTTCTGAAGCAGTCACATTTTCAATTAGGTATTTTTATGTAGTTTTGGTTTACATATTCATTCTGAAGTAGAACTTTAAGGAGAATAAGTCTTATTATTAGTGAGTCTTTGTGAGTGCTCATATTTTATATACTGTCCAGCAGCTCTGTGCTTTTAGCTCATTTAAACCCTGTAATAATCCTGTATAGGCATTGATACTAATTGTACCATTTATGACTGAAGAAAGTGAATTAAAGAGAGGGTCAAGATCTGGTAATGATGGCAGGGCAGGATTTGAACACAGAATATCTTGCTCCGGACCCTCGGCTATGCTAGCACTCTGTTGCCACCCATGTGTTTTCACTATATCCTCAATTCAATTCCTCAAAAATCAAGCAAAATTATCTGAAGATACACAGACCTGTATTTTGATACCTACCAGCTTGACAACAGCACCTTACATTCGACACAATCCTCCATAACTAAAACTCCCACCCCTGCCATTGGGTCGATTTCAACTCATACTGGCCAAGTGCTGGGTTTCCCAGGTTATATGTTGTTACGGGAACCAATTACCTCATCTTTCTCTCACGGTGGTAGGTGGTTTTGAATCACTAACCGTGCCATTATCAATCCAATATTTACCCATCACTTGGCCTTCTTAAGTAGTATACAATAAAACCCCATCAGATTCACACGATTTTAAATGCGACTGTTAAAATAAGTTACCCATGAATTTGACATCATTCTTAAATATATTGGTTAATATTGTTGCAAGAAGCCCAGGTGGTGCCACGGTTAAGTACTTGGCTGCGAACCCACAACTGCTGTCGAGGGAAAGATGTGACAGAGAGATCACAATCTTGGAAATGGTATGGGGCAGTTCCACTCTGTCTCATAATGTTGGAATTGACTTGATGGCAATGAATTTTATACTGCTGTATAGTGCTGTTTGGAGACTGTACTAAAGACTATTCATGAATTGTCGGAAGGAATAGTTCTGATAGCTAAATTATGTAAATAAGATTTCAATAGGACTATTTGCAACATGATAAATATCCTTAACTTACCTATGAGGTAAGTTATATAAGAGCTATATTTTATTCATAAGTCAGATTTATCTATTCTTTAAAATAAGCTTCCTTTCTCCCATATTTTCAAAGGATTATTACAATGACTAATATACCCAGAAAATAATACAATTTAGCGTATGCTGATATAATTCAAATTCAATGGTTCAGCTAGGCCTTCCATAATTAAATTAATGATGTCTTATCAATTCACTATAATGAAACATTTGCCCTAAATCAAAATTAACTTCTTTATCTGGCTACTGTGAAGCTGAAAGCTAAGTTTTATGCTGATGCGGCTTTTCCCAATATGTACTGTCTACTATGATTTTCCCCTTTCCTCTCGCTCTCTATTATTTCTGTGTTTTAGCAACTGTTAATGATTAGAACATTATTGTACTTTTACTGAAAGTTCCGTAAGTCATTTATGAAAGTAGTTTCATAATTAAAACAATTGTATTTCTATCTACTGAAATACTACTTATTTAATCAGTGATGTACATTAATGGATGATTTGCCTATCCTATCAATTATAATTCAAGGTTATCTATCAAAATTAAAATATATGTTAATTCTTTCAATATATTATATTAACTACAGAAAATAAAATTTAAGAATGTATTTAATTCTCTAGTCTTATTTCTAAACATTCTAGAAAACTTCATTTATGATTTATGGGGCTATTTATTTATAGAGAATACATTAATTAGATTGTAAAAACAAAACATTAAGTGGAGAGCTAATATTTAGTTCTATTTTTAATATTTAGTTAACATGATAGTCAGTTCTTTGATTTTAAGAGTTTCTTCCATAAGTTTTGTCAAAAATGCATTGGAGGAGGATCATACTGCTAATTACATCAGAGTCAAATTTCCTAAGAACCAATATAAACCAATAATCGTTTACTAAACTAATTATAAACATATATTTCCTAAGTATGAGAGGACTTCAAAAAGTTGATGGAAAAATGGAATAATAAGATAACCTTTTCACCAACTTTTTGAAACCCCCTTATATATTGAGGTTTTAATATATGGCACTTATCTGCTACAGTTAATCCATGTTTTAAAATGCTTAGTGCATATTCTCACTGTAATCAAGTTGATCCCCACCCATAGCGCCCCTACATAATAGAACAGAACTGACCCTGTGGGTTTGGACTGTAACTCTTTAAAGGGATAGAAAACCGCATCTTTCTCTAGCAGTGTGCCAAGTCGTTTTGAATTGGTAGCCTCATGGTGAGCAGCCCACGCTGGAATCAACTCAATGGCAGTGAGTTTTGAGTACATATTCTTTTGAGAGTAACAAAAAGCTACAATTTTCAGAAGTTAATTGTCTGAGTTTCAAGTACAAGTGTTACTGTGCAGTAAATTAAATAATTAATATTTGGATGACAACAAAATTCACTGTTTTTCTATCTGTGTCTGAGATGAAGAAATAATGTGATAGTGGGTAAAAAACGGAGGTTTGGAACTAGAGAGACATGGGTTCAAATCCTGATTTAATAGTTATCCTAAGTTTGGGGAACATATTTAACCTCTCCAATTCTCAATTTCCTTATCCATAAATACAGATAATAAGATGACTGTTGGTTAATTGATGGAGTGCATGTATAGTATCTGACAGTGTCAGTTATATGAACCTGGCCTGTCATCAGGCTAAAATACACGGGACAGGCAAAAAGAAAACTGAAGGAAGATGGAGGGAAATGTTACTTAACTAAGTTCAAAGTAAGACATATGTATTCATAAGGATGCAAGGAAACATTCCTTATATTTTCTTTAAGACATACTGTTATATTACTATTCAATTCACTTGCATTTAGAATTAAATCTTTGCAATTCACCTTTAAATTTTTACATGCATAATGATCTACATTAATCTATTATATGACATACCCTTCATATCTCACAGATAACATTAATAGTGATGAAAATAATTTAATGAATGATTATGGATATGGATGGTTCATATCAATATCTGGTATAAATATTGATATCACTGCATATAAATGCTGAAGCAATTTTTCTACATAAAAACATTAGAAACTTTAAAGAAAGGGGCAGCTCCAAAGTTATAAGCATTATTTCCTATTTCTCAACATAAATCTTACCTAGAAAACCCACCTGCAACTACTATATATTATTCTTACCAGCATTGCACGTTTTTCTTCATCTCCTTTAGTTTCTCTCTTTTCATTTTTTTTCCTGAATATCTCTTGAAGCTAAAAAAAAACCAATCAAGGCTCAAAAACTACATAAGTTTCTGGGCATCTACTTACTACTTGTATAAGGTATAATCTGTAAACAAAGAAAATAGTTACCTGCATGCATTCAGAAAATTAAAATTACTATAGATCTATTTTCTGACAGGCCTTTTGTCCCCCTCTAAAGCAGTGGTTCTAAACCTCCCTATTGCCGCGACCCTTTAATACAGTTCCTCACATTGTGTTGACCCCCCCAACCATAAAATTATTTCTGTTGCTACTTCACAACTGTAATTTTGCTACTGTTATTTATTGGGCGGCCCCTGTGAAAGGGTCATTTGACCCCCAAAAGGGTCGCGACCCACAGATTGAGAACAGCTGCTCTAAAGGAAAGAAAACATCATTTTTCATGGGCAAGCCAAGGTTAAGTTAAATAAAATTACAATTTTATTAATAAAGACTTAGACTTTGGCACCAACATACAAAGAGCTGGTCTATTGGGTATTAAAAACACTGGAACAGAACTTAATGAGTCTGGGTTTGAATCCAGCTTCTGCTGTGCATGATTAATTTCATGACTAGACAGTTCACTCAACCCTTTCTGGGGTCCAGCTGCTCATATAGTAAATGAGAAGGGATTAGATGATCAGTAAGGTCTCTTTCAGGTAACTGAGCCTGGTGAACTCTTCACGTAGAATTCTTTGGGCCCATAAAACCAAAATCATAGTACCCTATAGGACAAAACAGAACTGCCCCTGTGGGTTTCTGAGACTGTAAATCTTTACAAGAGTAGAAAGTTTCCTCTTTAACCCGGAGTGGCTAGTGGTTTCAAACTACATACAGCCCAAACGGTAGTCCACTATGCCACCAGGGTTCCATTCCTTGGGCAAGTTACTTGATTTAAAGCTTGTCTCCCTTTGTAGAAAATGGAGATAACGCTTGATTTTACTGCAGTGTATGGGGAGTAGATATTTCAAGTAACAAGGAACTCTTTAGCACATTACATGGCATATAGTTCATTTTCACTAAATATTAGCTATGATTATTGTAAACTGTATTACATCATCTTTAAAATCCTATAATTCTACAAGCGTAAGCCTAATCCTATCTTATAATGGTTCCCTGGAGAGTTCCCTGTTACAGTATAGGGTCGCTGTAAGTCAGAATCAACCAGATGATGGCGAGTTTTATGTCTATAATTTAGACAGCTATCTTAACTCAATTCATTTTCCGTAGTAATAGTTAAAATGCAAATAAAGCATATTGCTTCTTAGCATGTAATACTATTTAAGAATACAGTAAAAAAATAAGTGATTATTTTTAACATACAAATTTATTTTATTTTTTTCATACAAATTAATTTCATGTATTTTCCTAGTGAAGAGTTTTTTTAGCAAAGGTTACTTAGAAATAGGTAGGAGAATTACAGATTTTAGACATCTACAAAACTAAGCTTAACTCCACCATCTATTTTCAAGACTTTGTGCTCTCTGACCACAAAAAAATGAAAGGAGACAGCAGGTGACCCACTGAGGAGTAAACCACAGCACTGAAGACAGGGCAGCTTTTGCAAGCATGCAAAGTGAAAACAAGTAGTTCTGCATGAATTTTTTAAAGTAATTTGCCCAAACACACTATTCTGAAACACAATCTACATAGGCATTTTTCTAGAAACTGAGTTCCAAGCCTGCATTTTTAAATCAGTGGGTAGGATTTGGTAGTGTGGCTAGAACAAAAGCGTTAAAATTATTTAGATACTAAAACCTTTGTGGAAGTTCCTTATATATAGTTGTGCACTATTAAGAAAAATTATATCAGACTGAACCTGCTCATTTTAGGATATCAGAAATATATATTCAAAATTTTTTGACACAATTGATGTATGAATTAAAAGAAATTTAAGAACCCCCCCCAATAAAATGATTTATTAAAATTTTAAAAAAGAGAGCTAGAGAGACAAAAAAAAGGTATATTTATTTGTGGCAATGAAATTCACACCCCTACATGGCAGGCACTCGTATGTGGCCCTTCGCAGGCAGTTCGAGCTCAATGGCTTGGCTGCCTCTGCAGCTGGGCAAGTGCTGGGGGTGTTTGATTAAGTTTCTGATTGAACTCAGTACTGATCTCCTGCTTCCTTCTGGATGGCTACTAAATAGCTTTTGATGAGCAATGTCATCTTTTCATTTCACTTTCCTCCTCCAAGTGGGGAAAAAGTGGTTTTCATAGATTTTCTGTGCTCCAGCTTCTACAGGTTAAAAAAAAAAAAAGCCCTTCAAAAGAGGTTTTCTGAGACATTTTTGTGGCTTGTTACAAAGCACAATCAGAAAAAATATCCGCTTGATCATGAACTAATTTTTCCACCTCTATCCAAATGTGCACAACTTATTTTTAAAATAAAATGTGTCACAACAGTCTCCTTTCTTTTTACAAGGCAGTATAAGGAAAGACAGAGTTGAATATAAATGTTAAGGGTGGCCTTGCTTTCTGAGAATAAACAGGTATTTTAGCACAGAAGCAAATACATAGTACCTAGATAGAGAAACAGACCCCCGGAGTGGGGCGGGCTGGGTGGTGTGAGGTCAGCAAGCAGCTGGAGTGGCTTGAGCATCACCAGCACATAGGCTGGCGCTATGGGGTGAGGTTCTACTCATTCGGCTTTAGAATAGCCTTCGGTCAGACCGGAGAAAGGAACAGGAAGGTGGGGACAAGTATGAGGCCAAAGTCAAAGAGAAAAAGAGAAAAATTTTAAATGTTACATTGAGAAGGAAAGAAAGTCCCGTGACAACAATTGTGATTGGGTGCTTGCATAGCAGGGATCAAATATTCATGAAGCATTTATACCTTCAGAATTGCCTTTCATCCTTACAGTAGAAAATATCTGATATATTGCAAACTCCCAGAAAAGGTACAAATAATTATAAGCATCTTTACAAACTGAATACAATTTTTATTGTAATAGTGCCAGTAATAATCGAACTACATGAGGATATATGGCTTTACCAATTTAAGGTAAAATAATACATTTTTCACTATTCTCTTTTTAACGGTGGTATTCCTAATAAATAATACAGATGCATAAAGGTAAAAGGAATATTTAATTATTGATAAATGCAGCATATCCTATATACATACCACCAAAAATTCCTTTTTATCCACCATCTCATTGCCGTCAGTGTCAAACATGTTGAAAGCTATTCTAAAACCTGCATGTGGCTCTGCCAGAAAAAATACAAAAAGGATTTTTAAAATGAAAAACAGTATTATACGCAAAATGTCTTTGTTAGTGGTAAACTATTACTCATATATTTGGTACAGAAATACTTCAACGATATAAAAAGGTACATGATATTCAAAAAAAATTCTTATGCAATTGCATCACAGGAGCCTATTTTTGGTACTTCTGATGCATCATGACTTCCCGTGATTCCATATAGCCAGCTGGTCCAAAAGAATGTATGATGTCTATATTTACGGTGTTAGTGAGATTTTGGTTCTTTTCAGCAGGGACATGTTATTTATTTATTTCTGTCTGGCTTATACCTATGCTTATTTATATACTATTAAAAGTGGTTATGACTTCTTCAATATAAAAATGAAAGTTATGTATATAAAAATAATATAATTAGTTCTAATACTAATACTAAATAAACCTTGATTTGACCTTGTTTAAAGAAAAGTAACATGCTACAAGTAGTTAACTAGAACAAGTTATGTAGATGTACACATGTTAGCATACTTAGGAATAGAATTGATAATACACTTCTGTAAGTGCTTTTTAAATAATACCAACAGAAAAACCTTAATACTTTCCTTAGAAAAATAACTATTTCTCATTCATATCCAAAATCTGCCAGTTTGTTTCAAGGGAAAATAGCAGCTGATTACATTTGAAATCTTTTCCATTAATTTAATTGCTTAAGAGTTTGGTGGGGGGTGCGGGAGAAGGTTGACACTACAATAAGCCAGCCCATTCTAGGAAAAATTACAACTAAAATAACTTATGAAAATAAGTTAAAGCAATATGAAAGATTACAAAATGATGCCCTTTTATGTTTTAAGATAACAAATTAAGGATTAAGAGAACTGTAAGGCAGTGAATTTTATAATAACTATTTCATGTGGAAATCAAGAAAAAATAAGCTATAGAAAAATCTTTGACACTTCCCATACACAGTTCCCATTTTGAGGCTTAAAATTAGAGGCTTTGAAAAGAGAAATCTAAAATTAGAGATATGAATTAGTAACTCAACTCTTCAAAATACACGGAACAATTACTTTGCTGATATTTTTACATACTGAGATCTCCTTCTATAAAGGTTTAATACCTTTTCTCTTTTGACTTGTAAAGCATAAAGAAGGAACATGGCTAGAAGAAAACTTGAAAGCATCCTTCAAAGAACTCCTCAGTATGCATGCTTTTCTCAAAACATTTGACCTTTTCTTTTCAGACGGAACTAAGTTTTAAAAGGGACCTCCCGCAGACACACTTGCCACTACCTGTTGTGAAATCTTGAACCTGGCAAAAGAGAAGCATGTAGCCAGTTTCTTGACTATAATAACAACCTCTGAAAAGAACAGAAATGGAAACCACTACGTTTGCAGTTCATTTCTTGCATATATTTTAGAATTCTGCGCTTACTTTGATTACTACTCACTAAAGACAGGAACACAGCTAGACTACATCTGATAAGCATGTTTTGAGGTTATAAAAGATGTTGGAAATACAAATATAAAGGAAGCCCTTAGTAGAATTGCTTAAAATTTCTAAAGGTAAAGATCAGACACCTATTGACAAAAAACATATTAATCAATGATTATACAGTTCACTACCTACCAGGCCCTCTTTTTCATGTTTCTTGGTTCTAAAAAACATAACATACCATATTTTTTTCAACTACAGATGGGTCCAGAACTCCAAACAGAATCCCACAGCACCCAAAGATTTCAACATTTCTATAATAAGCAAAACCCATGGTTTGTGTTTTTGCTATACTCTTAACTCACATCTCTCCCCTTTTTAACAACTGGCTTTCCTAACCAACAATATTCATATTTTTGCCTATCGTGCTGGTTTACGTACCCAGACTACTTTTCAACCAGTCTCTGAGACACGGAGGTATCCACCCCTCTCATTCTTAGGGCAGTGTTCCTCACTGACTTGGACTGCAGTCAACATTGTAGCGCTCCAGTTTTGAATAACCAATTACGAACTGCACAGAACTAGTACCTGTATCTTTCTTGAGATCCACACTTCAGGGTTTCTTTTAAATTAAAGCAAGAATTGGTATGATATACATTTATAAGTGATGAAGACTTTCTACCATAAGTAAATGTTATTTATGGTTTTTACTCTTGATACTGCTATGCAACATTTTTCTGTGGCATTGGGACATGCATTTTACAAAACAGCATATATATGACTAAAATAATTTTCAACAGAGTTGAATAAAGCTTTGTGGTCTAAGATTTTGATTAAATATAAAAACTGCAATAGATCTTAGGAGTATACTTACTTGTTAAAATACACAAAAGAAAAAGATACTCTGTGTAAGAAATCACACCTAGAAGAAAAATATTATTAATTATGCTATATGTAAAATACTACTTTATTTTCATCTTTATCAAAGTAAAATATTATTCTAATAGCAATGATGAATATGAGTAACAAGTTTTTTTTTTAATAACTTAAGGGCTAAAGCAGATTCTAGATATTGTTTTACATGAGAGCAAATTATTATAATACTAACAAAACAAGCAATCAAATTGCTCATCAAACCCTTGTAGAAACTGATACAAATTTCCATTATTGTTCAAATATATTTTTCAAAGCAAAATTATGTTCACTTAGTTGCAATTTTTAAACTTGTTTTTAAATATATACATTTATCATAAAATTAAAAGTTGAAGATAATTAACACCTAAAAGTGATCCATAGTTAATATTTGTTTCAAGTTAACATGTTATTTTCTTGATAAAGTTAATGCTTCTATTAAATGTGCTCTTCTAAGAAGTTATTTTAATTAAATTGTTTACCCTTTTTGTGTGTCACACCCTGAGTCAATTGTAACTCCTTAATTACTAACTCTAAAAGGAGTCTATAATAAGTAAAAACAGATCTGTTACTAAAATTCTTGTTTTTGAACTCTCACAGACATTAGAATTAATGGCTTAATTGACCCTACAAGCAGATACTAGAAAATCAAAATCAAGAAAAACCTGTAACACGTATTGACTTATCATATAGTTCCAATACTTGGTAACGTGTATAAAAATCCTTGAATTAAAATGTAAAATTTGAAATTCCATTTTACCTGAAGTTCTTTAGAGGTTCTCTCTTTTGTTACAGAACAAAGACAAGAAGAGCTACTGTCAGGCAGTTTGTCAGAAGACATGAAGGGAACTAGCTCGGAGGCCCTGAAAGCATTCCCTTCTTTTGTTTATACTAGAATATTGTGACCTATAGGCAGATAGTTCTGGTTGATTGCCAGGAAGGTTATGGGAGAAAGATTCTGGGATCATCATGGTATATAAAGATAAAAAACTTAGATTCCATAGGGATCACACAAAAAAGGAGAGAGAAACATAAATACATAAAGAAGAAAGAGATAATGGGATTGGAAATGGGACCCTTGTGTACACAATCCCATATCACTGTTGTTCTGACCGGTGGAATACTGAGAAGTTGGTCAGTATAATCAAGTTCAATAACTGCAATATACCTCACACCTGTTTGTTAACTAAAATTTCCCCAAGAAAAGATAACAGTGAGAACTCTAGTCATGATCATCATGGTAGGCAATCATCTATAGAACTTTTTAAAAAGATTAAATCAGGAACAAAAGTCTTTTACTAAAATATTTCTATGAGAAAGATAAATTAAGAACTAACGGTTTCTGAAGTGGCATCATCCAAGAGAAAGAGAAAAAAGAAAACCTGAGATAGAATTTAATACAAATGGTCAATAAGAAGAAAAATACTACTAAATCTGAACTGTAAACTCTTTAGCACTTTTCAATCGCGACAATGGAAAACTCTAAAATTAACCTTTCCCATGATATTAAGACTACTCAGGATCAAAGTGTAAAAATAAATGCAAAGCATAAGGTAATATTTAAAAATAAAATTCAAAAGATGACAATTAAATTCATTTTTGAAAGTAAAAAAAAAAGAATTCCTTAAAAGCATTGTTTGGATGCTGTGTCATACTTTATTATAGTTGGTAAATATAACCATATAATACACGTTTCCAAAAAAGTTATGTAATAGATAATTTGAGGTAAATCAGATAAATTTCATTTAAAATTTAATTTTCAAGAGCGCTGATAAATTAACTTTAAAATTTCTCTGTCTTACACTTGATTAATAAGACAAGTTTCTTTGTACATACATCACTGAATTTATTGGATTTAAAACTCTGGCCTCATGAATTATCTTGATAATGTGATCAGTGTGATATAGCTCTGCACTTTTTATAGAGTATTCATATGTGAGTACATAAATTCAATAACTAAAATCTTTTTAAAAATTAAAATTATATTCCTCAATTATACTAATTACTAGTGCTAAAAGACACATTTGGCTAGTGGCTATCAACTTGGACAGCACAGAAATAGAACATATCCATCACTGCAGGCAGTTCTACAGGACATCACTGAAAACATCATCTCCCCATAGTTGGAGGCATGCAAAATATACATGCAACATAAGAAAGATTAGGAAATGTCTAAACCCAGAGCTTCCATATTAAATCCCTCCCCCAACTAAAAGCTTTTCTCATTGCATGTATTTATTTCTCTGAAATTGTATTTCAACCCATTTGTATTTTCCTATGAAAGGTATTAGGGAAAATATATTTTAATTAACCACATTCACTTGGTTATTTGTAGCTTTGAATTTTTCTTATCCTATCATTCCACGTTAAGGCAACTTCCAGGAGAAAACTGCTTGAGCTTTTTAAAGGTCCTTGGGTTCAGATTTCTCAAAGATTTAAAAATCCGAGGTATGATAAACCCACAATAAAACATACAGTCCCTGTTCATTTCTTCTTACTCCAGTTAAATGTGAGTCAGCATAACTACTGTATGTACTCGAGTATAAGCCGAGATTTTCAGCACATTTTAAATGTAGTTTCTGTGGTAAAATTAGGTGCCTCAGTGACTATTTGGGTTGGCTTATACTTGAGTATATATGATAATTTGAATTTCTTATGTCAATATTAAAATAAACCATTAAAATTAGCTTACCTCTTTCTTTAAGATTTCGAAATAGCTTTGATGATCCTTTCCAAACTGGTGGTGTTTCTGAAAGTATTTGATTTAATTCCTATGACATAAGGTAACAAATACTGATCAATAGGTAAGCTATTTATGATGTAGGTCAAAAAGATATTTAAATATTGATGTAAAAGTTTTCTTCACTTGAGAGCTGAAACATGGCAGTGAGGATCCTAATCTAAATTTGTAGTCCTTACAGTCTTAAACGCAGTGTTTTTCCCTTAATAATATAAACAAAGATGCTGTATTATATTTATTTGGAGTTATTGATATCTTCACAGTAATTCTGTAATTTGAGGTACATATAAAGACAATCAAATTAAGGTAAAACAGAGCTGGTTTTATGAATGCCTATAAAAAGGTGGATTTCTTTTTCAAAGTCAGAGATGAACTTTCACATAACATGTTTATCTCTGTAGTCTTCTTAGATTTGGAAACGTTTACAGGGAGCCTTGGTGGATAACATGGATAACATGCTGGGCTGCTAACCACAAGAACAGTGGTTCAAGCCCACCAGCAGCTCCTTGGAAGAAAGAGGACAATTTGCCTTGGAAACTCAGAAGGTCAGTTCTACTCTGTATGTGGGTCAGTATGAGTCAGAATGGATTTGCTGCAGTAAGTTTCTTTCTTTTTTTTTTTTTAATAGGGTTAGAAAAGGAATCTTGGTGGTGCTATGGGTTAAGCATTGGACTGTTAACCCCAAGGTCAGTGGTTCAAAACCGCCAGTTGCTCCATGGGAAAAAGATAAGGATGTCTGTTCCCATATAGTGTCTTAGAATCCCAGTGGAGCAATTCTTCTGTCCTATAGAGTTTTTCTAAGTTGGGATCAAATCAATGGCAATGGGTTTGGGTTTGGGTTTGGATTGGGCTGCAAGGTGGTTAAGCACTAAGCTGCAACTCAAAGGTCAATAGCTTGAATCGATCACGAGTTCTTTAAGAAAGATCTGGCAGTTTGCTTGCTTCCAGACAGCCTCAGGTATAGTCAGTAGAGCTTCAGAAAGTTTGTGGAAACATTCCATTATTTTAATTCCATTTTCTCATGTACTATTTCAAGCATTCCAAAGTGTGGTGTGTTTGTGGTTCATAGATGCCTATCGTATTAGCATATACGAGGTGGCATCAAAATGTTAATGGAAAAACAGAAGTGAAAGATGATGGACTTCTCCCAAGAACGTGTTGAAGCACCGTGTGTGTGCATGTGTGTATGAAAAACAGAAAATGGGGAACACAGACTAAAATGAGCCACAATTAAAAGTTTTCTGTGTATCTTTTAATTCTAATCCTCTAACTTCTGTTGTTGCTTGCCAGTGACTTGATTCTGATGCACACTGGTGGTCCCATGTGTGCAGGGTGGAACTGTGCCACAGGATTTTCATGGCTTGCGACTTTTTAGTAACAAATTGCCAGGCCTGTCTTCCAAGCTGCCTCTGGATGGGTTTGAACCACTAACCCTCAGTGTAAGTATTCAAGCACTTCAATGTTTACAATACACAGATTCCTAGCAAACTTACTATTTTTACAAATACTAGATCATTTTGTAACTTCCTCTTTGTATTTAACATAAAATGGATGCATTTTCTTGTCAAATACGTATTTTAATTTTAAAGGCTCAGCTCTAAAACACTTATTGTCTTCAAGTCAATTTTAACTCACAGCAACCCTAGAGGACAGAGTAAAATTGTCCTTGTGAATTTCCAAAATGATGGAATTCCTTATGGAAGTAGAAACTCTCATCTTTCTTCCAAGGTGGTTTTGAACTGCTGGTCTTGTGGTTAACAGCCCAATATGGTACCCACTATACCACCAGCATATAGTATTTTATGGCTGAAAATGTATCCTGCTACGAGAACTTTAGTTAGATTAAAAGAGTACTAAGTGAAATAATTATATTTCAACAATTTTAGACCTAAAGATACCATTATTTTCCTTGTAAGAATTGTATATCAAGCTTAACAATTCCCCAAGCAAACGGCTTTGAAGAACAGATATCCAGCTTTTACCCTAAAAAGAATTAAACTTTCCCAATGACCAACAGCACTATTTTTTTCACTTTCTTTTAAAATTATCATTAGGATAAACAAAACACAAAGACACTCAAAGAAAATAGGTATGTTACTAAAGGCAGTCTTCTTCCTATTTCTGGACATGACTACATTATAAGTAAGATAATTAATCACTATGTCAATTCAACTCACTCACTGAATCATTCAGAGACATGACTTCTAACATCACACTACCATGAAAAATAGTGTAATGTGTAACCTCAGAGCCAGCATACTGAGATATGTAAGAGCTGAACATTAAGCTTGTGAATCAGACTCGGCAAGTTCCTAGCTGCTGACCCTGGCAAGTTTTTAAACCGCTTTGTGTCTGTGTTAGCATCTGTAAAACCAAGACGATAAAAATATCTACTTTTAAGTTATTGTCAGAATTAACTGGGTAAATATGGGCAAACCTATCAGAACAATGCTCAGTAGATAGTAAGCAACCAGAAAAAGTTCGCTGTAATTGTTTTTATTATTAGTCATAGTATTATTATCAGATAAATTACTAGCAAAACAAATATTTAGTAATTTTGAGTTACTACCACCCTTTCTTTCACAAATGTCATAAGAATTTACATTTCTCTTAAATTTTATAATTACTTATTTCTCAAAACCCTCTCTGATACCAGATATTTTCATTACATAAGCCTTTATCTATTTGATACAATGTGTCATTGCTTTATTTTATATTTCTTTACTGTTTAAGAGCCCTGGTGGTGTAATGGTTACACTTTGAGCTGCAATCCGCATGGTTGGCAGTTCGAAACCACCAGCAGCTCCACAGGAGAAAGATGGGCTACTCCCATATACAGATAAAGTCTTGGAGACCCACAGGGGGTTGTTATGAGTCAGCATTGACTCGATGGCAGTGAGTTTGGTTTACTGTTGAAGTTAATATTTTCACATATTTGTGTTTTTATTGTTTCTTTTCCTGTATTGCCTACTTATGTTCTTCCCATTGTAATTTGTAAAATACTTTTTCCAAGAGTCTACAACAGGCATGATATCACAATTACTTAGGAAATTTGGAATCATTTTCTTTAAAATCATGTATGTTGGGACTTCAAAAAGTTCATGGAAAGATGGAATTAAAAGGTCACAAATTTTAATCCACAAACTTTCAGAAGTCCCTCCTATGTGATTCTAAGGAAATTTCTCCAACGTTTCCTAAGTAAGCATGATCGCTGCTATAGGCTGTTGGAGAACTCCCTTTAATGGACAAAGAGGTTTCAGTTTGCTAATACTCCTTTAATTTTCATAGTGACCTTGATCATACATATGAACATATAAATGAAAAATATGTACAATATAAAGAGCAATAACAAAAACTAGTCATGTCCTTATAACCTAGTTAAAAAACAGAACATTACCAGTACCTTACAAGCCTCTGAACCCTCTTGAACACATACCCTGCCCTATCCCTTAGATGCAAACACTATAGTGAGTTTTAATTTTCCCACCCATACATGCATTGCTAAATAATACATTTTTCCAGTTCTAAATTTTATGTAAGTAAAAGGACACTTTATATATTTTTGTGAACAGTTTTATTCACATAACTATTGTTTTTGAGATTCGTCTAGTCAAACATTGCTATAATTCATATACTTTGTTACTTCATAGTATTTGCTGAATGAATATATAACTATTTATTCATCAATCTGACTATTGATGTGGTACTGAGTTTGTTTTGACCATCATGAATGATCTACAAATATTCTTGTGTACCTCTCCTGAATTTCAACAAGAATTTCTTACATGCTGCTATAAAATGACTGGATCACAGGATAGATATATTATCACCTCCTCCCCCTCAACTGTAATCTTACTAGGTACATGTATGTACAGTTATAAAATTTAAACCTACAAGTGAAATTATTAGGAGTAGAGTATATATGTGTATTTTCACTGAGTAAATTAGATAATGCCAAACTATTTTGCAAATTGGGAATGCCAATTTACACCCATACATTGATCCCTGTCTTTCCTAACACTTGGAATTACACAAATTTTTAATTTTCTGACAACCTGGAATGCAAAATTGGCAACTTGCTTCAATTTATAAATTGAATTATAATTTATAAATTCAATTTATAAATCTATTTAATTATCTATTTATACAATCACAACTATATCAAGAGCTTTAACCCACCTGTTTGGAAAATGATTTCCATGTTTTAGCATCTAAAATAAACAAACATAAATTAATTGTGGAATAAATACTTCATGTAATTTACATCCAAATTCAGTAACCAACTACAATTATGACTTACAACCAATCATTTATGTTTAACAAGAAAGTTTCTAATAAAACCAAGAATAGGATACACGAGGAGACTTTGTTTAAAAACTTTGTGGAAAAATTGTGTTACCTTTGAATTACACTATTTCATAAACTTTTTGAAGCCCTCTCATATGGTATCATCATATACATGTTATCTATTTATTTTATATACTATAGAGTACAAGTAATATCAAAGAAATGGGGCACAAATCTTTACATAATCATACTACCTTAATATGGGACTTTTTGGACTTATCAAATTAATTGAGTTTATTTTAAATATCTTATGCACATAAGCATAACTTACATTTATAAATATTCACATTAGAATATGAAAAATTAACACAAAAATTATTCTTTTAAGGTATTATCCATGATATCTGTTATGTGATTGTCCCAGTTATTGTTAGCAGCCACTGAATCAGCCCCTGACCCATGGTGACCTCATGTACAAGAGGATCAAATGGTTGTGACCCATTGGGTTTTTCACTGGCTGATGTAAAACAATCATTAGGTTTTTCTTCCTCCTCTGTCATAGTCAGGGGGCTCTGCTGAAACGTATTCGGCATCACAACAAAGACCTCCACTGACGAATGCAGCTGAGCTTGCTGTCTGCTGAGTGGAAGTGAACCAGTCTCCCATAGGGAAAGTGAAAATTTTATCACAATGGCACTACAACTTATAGAACAGATTTCTTTAAGGTAAAGGGATAGAAAGAGGGCAGAGAGGAAAAAGAAATAAAAGGGAGAGTAGTAAAATGGTAGAAAACTCATCTTGTTTTCCATTCTCTGCTTCTGTTCAGGGGCATCCTTAAAACATGGGTGTTACATTTAAATAAAATAAGTAAAATTACTTTATTTTGTAGATTTCCTATATCCTGGCACCACACTATCTCAAGCACAATAGTTTATACAATATTTGGATAAATAATCAGTGTACAGTGAACCCTCGCCACTTCGCGCTTCGACTTCCACGGCTTCACTCTATCGCGGTTTTTGCGTAACAGCAC